TATTTCCTACATTTCCCCAAATCCCTTTTGACAACAACAGCCTGTGCACAACGAGTGTTAACGTGTTACACACTTGTTTCACTCAACTGTGGCTTACGTATGCAGGTGGTGAGAGTGAGAAAGCGAGAGAGCAAGACTTGACAGTGTTCAAAGCAGTGTGTCCTGGTCTATCGAGTGAACGTGTTATGTGTTGATATTTCTGCCTCATATACAGAGAATTTCAACGGTGTGATTTTCTTGAAGCTGAACCTCTAGAAAGAAGCCTTCATGATGTGAGACTCACACCAAACAATTTCTGTTGCCTTCATGTGTTTGCTGTGTAACTGGATGAATGTGTTTTCCTCAAAGACACACACAAGAGCGAGTAAAGAAGGGAAGAAGAGACAGACAACGACCCCTTTTCTACTCATCTGCTGACACATTCTTTCCTTTAGTTGAGCTGTTGGATTGACGAGCAGTGTCCTTGCATCAGTCTGTAATGTCCACTGGAGGGCAGACAGGGACAACAGCTCTGATACCCTTACAGAGGTGGACATCATCACCATCATCACTGTAATAAAATATATTTTATGAAAGTATAAATCCTCGCTTTGGACATGTTTTACATTACACATTTGTTGTCAATTTGACTCACTTCATATACAAACACATTCATGTAGCAGTAGATGGCTTGTAATAAGTTAATTTAATATTTTCTTCATAAATCTAACCGTTCATCTTGCTTTTAGTTAGGAGTATCTACTGTGTGGCCTCCTTCTCTTCTTATAACATCAGGAGTGATGCATTTGACAACAACAGATTGTACACCTATGAATTATAACTGCACATGTATGTATGTATTAATTCAGGGTTTATGTAACAGAATCTTTCATTTTTGTCACAGACTGTCTTAAAAACACATTGTGAGACAATTGCAATGTTCAGGGACAGTGGCATTTTACTTCCGGGTTCATGGGCAGTGTGTAAACAGAATGCAACAGGTTTATTACTTTTGATACCGATTTTTGTCTTCTCTCTTATGATATTCAGTCAGTCTCATTAAACCTGTGGTTCTCAACCCGCGTTGGGCCACGGACTGATACAGAGTCATGGAACATTTGCTGCTGAACCCCAAGAAAACACAATAATAATTATATAATGCTATAGACTTATTTTCTTTTGCAGTAAATGCCTTCAATTTGCTGCATTTTTCCTCATTACTCCCTGTCGTATCTCCAACTATACGTATTACTGTATGCTGATTTTTAACTGAAACAGTTTATCAGTACCATAGATAGACACATCCAGTCTGCAACGACATTTTCAATATAAACATGGTCCATGGTGTGAACTTCAGCATTAAAGGGCTGAAAACATAGTTCTTCAGATGCAACAAAGTTCAAATGTGTACATTAAAACATTTGAAGAAGGGGGAAGAAAGGGCCAATTTTAAGAAAGCCAGTGCTACTGTCAAGAGTTGTAACTCTCATTAAACACTCCGACAGACAACAAAGTACGACTGTGAAGTACATCAGGCTGTGGCACCAAAAAGATCTTATTCTAACATTTAGCTTCTTGCTTTTTTTGTATCAACGCATTAGGGTCGATGGAGAAATGAAAGAAACAGAGCAGAAGACAGAGCGAGTGAGAGAGATGGTGAGAGGGTGGGGGTTGTCTGTTCTAGTGTGGTTTTGGGGAGTTATTTGGTGTTAAAATATGCCTTAATGGTTGCTGGGGATCCATTTATTACAGGCAGGAAGCAGAAGGGGGTTTCTCTTCTCATTTAATGTGACCGCCGAGAAGGTCGCCAAGTCCTACAGGCAAGCCAGCATTCCTCTGCGCCAACGCAACACACGCACGCACACACACAACTATGAATATGAGCATAATTATACTGTAAGGCATGTAAATGAAGCCTATGTATGCACGTGTGTAGATGCAAAGACACACGCTCAAAAACACACCACACGTCGCAGTGCCTTCAGAAACAGCTTGCAAATATGTGTATATGCATAAAAGCACACACACAAATAGATTGTGGTCTCTGGCAGTGAGAATGACCTTTTCTGAACCATGGAAACACACGCATTAACACACACACACACACAGAGAAAAGCCTCTGCAAAACATTTAAGCATGGCAGTGCCGAGGTTATATAAAAAGCCTCTTGAGGTCTTATTAATTCACATTTGTTTTTCAGTTGTGAAGCTCGGTTTCTCTCCTTCTCACTCATCCCGTCTCACTCTGTAGTTGTTAGTTTTTCACACACTTCCTGTCCCTCATCCGTCACTTTGTCAGGCATGGACGCGCGCACCACTTCTTCTCTCTGTCACACTTCCTTCCTTCCTTCCTTCCTTCCTTCCTTCTTCTTCCTTCCTTCCTTCCTTCCTTCCTCCTTCCTCCTTCCTTCCTTTCCCTCCCTCCTTCCTTCCTTCCTTCCTTCCCTTTCCTCTTCCTTCCTTACTTACTCTGTGACTGTCCAATTACAGAGCCAGATCAGCTTGACCACCCTTCCCTTGCATATAGAGAGGGTGTTTAAACACCTCCTCCCAACCAGCGGCCTTAAGACCGTTTATGAAGTGTAGGGCTCCTGGTGTAAAGTGTGTGCGCCGCACGCACACACACACACAAAAACCCCCAAAAAACAAAACCAACACACACACACACACAAGAAGAAGAAGATAGAGATTAAGATGTGAGATTTGATGTGTGTAGGAAAATTAGGGATTTTCTTGAAGGGGTTTGTTTTTAATGTTTTTGCAGCATTTTGGATTCTACTAATGTTGGACTGCTTTTATGTTTTGTGGTTCATTTTGAGAATATTCTGGGAAAACTGTTGACAATAGTGTACAGTATGGGTGTTTTATTTTATATTTGTGTGTTATTTCTCATTATGGCTAAGACAGTTTGGATCTCAGTGGGTTAATGTTGCTGATTGCATCTCATAAAAAGTTCTTAAAATGTTGGCACGGTCACCTAAAGGCAGAGAAGCGGACGACAAAGTGTTTTGATTGTGATTACACCGACTTTAACGGCGCCTGAGTGCGCACAAAAGGGAGGAAAACTGTCATGGCTGCTGCAACTGTGTGTGTGCTTTGAATGCCAAATCAAATTATACAGTATCAACATGTTTAAAACAAAGTAAGGTAACTCTAGAAACTTTACTTGGCTACTACAGTCGCTCAGTTAAAGGTTGTGTAAGGTTGTGTGTGTGTGTGTGTGTGTATGTGTGTGTGCGTGCGTTTGAGAGTGTGTGAGTGTATTGGGTTACATGGCGGATATAAGGCTCTATCCCTCCTTTCATCAGCTGAGTGAGGAAGAATCGAGCAGCAACACAATGCAATCTGACCCTGACCTGCACACGCACACACACTTTAATACACACACACTTTAATACACACAGTAGCAGAAAAGCAGACATAGTTCAGTGCTGACCATCACTCATCAGCACAAAACCTCACTGCTGCTTTCCACTGATCACCACTGTCATAACACATGCCTCTGTGGCTCTGATCCCTCTTTCCAGTATTATATCATATCATTAATATCACTTGAAAATCTTATAACTCCAGTTTGGTTTTTAGTTGAATTTTTGGGTGTTAGCATGTAAACTCACCATTCAAATAAAATCATGGAAGCCGTAATAGGCTTTGAAGAAGACTACATGGTAATGAGCCAGCCAGCCGAGGGGGGTTGTTAATAAAGACACTGAGTCCCCGCCAGCTGCAGGGTGCTGATCTGTTGTTGACCCTGACCTCTGACCCTTCCAGGCCAATCAAGAGATAGTTACCTTGCAGAGGTCAGTAATGAATACTGTAGGTCAGTAATAGTTGTACAGGTAGTATTAGGGAAGGCTTCATAAACTTGATTGCTCCCAGATTTGATTTATTTTTTTTGCTAAGAGTTAGATGAGAAGATTGATACTGCTGTCACATCGGTACAGTAAATATGAAGTTACAACGAGCTAGACTAGTCCTGTCCAAATGTAACAAAATCTGTCTACCAGCACCACTAAAGCTCACTAATTAACACAACATATCACGTTCCGTATGCGTTTAAAAACAACAAGTTGTGGTTTTAAGTGGATTTTGTTACTTTTGCAGAGAGACGCCTAAGTGCCCCACTCCCATTTCCAGTCTTTGTGCTAAGCTAAGCTAACAGCTGCTGGCTGTGGCTTTATATTTACCATACAGTCATGAGAGTGGTATCAAATCCCATCTAACTCTTGACAAGGAAGCAAATATGGCTATTTCATCAAAATGTTCCTTCCTACAACATACATGTGGAATTACAGTTTAAATAAATAAACGTCTGGTCTGATGTGAATAAAAAAATCCTGAGCCAACATTTTTAGGCTTTCAAAGTCTTCAGGTAATGTGCACTTATCCCTGTCCACTGTTCTTCTTTTACCAGTCCACATCAGTGTGTCATACCAACCCTGATCTGTCCTCCAAATGAAGAAAATTAACTGTGTGTGTCCATGAGAAAATGAAATGGACAGAATTAGAAAATAAGATTCCAAAGGGAAACCAAGGAAGTAAAGTAAGAGAGTTTGAATGGTTACTGTGTAACTGTGAGTGTGTGTACCTTAGTGTGTGCAAAGGGGGGGTAATTACGGTGTAGAATGTCCTCCTCATCACTGGAGCTGACCTAAGAGCACAACAGTTAATCATCCACTAACCGGCAGAGAGAGACAGAGTGAAAGAAGGAGGGGGAAGCCAGTGTTGCATGCTGCACAGTTGGATTGGAAGAGGCACACTTTGAGGCACCTGTGTTTGATAAAAGGTAGAAGGAAAGAAGAGTCTTTCATCAGACAGTCTGGAATAAAGGATATACTCACCTGAGAGCTTTGGAAGGATAACAAATCTGCAGCCAAGGACACGCACCTGCTCCTGATGAGGGATTTTTAGCAGCATTCTCCCTTCTTTCAATCAACCAGTGTGTGTTTGTTTGTGTACAACAGTGAGTTATTATGTGTGTTCTGTGTGGACTGTCCTGTTTTTGGATTTAACTGTGTGTATGTGAGAGGTGGCCACATGGGGCCTGGGCCCTGTCCGGGATGCCAGCTGCAGCAGTGAAGCCCGCTCTGGAGGACATGGTGGCGGAGGGAGGGGGCGAAGGAGAGCGTGGCGTGTCCCAGTGGGAAGCCACAGGGGTGGGCCGGGAACGGCTGCCCTCCCTGAAGGTCCCTAGGGAGCTGCTGCGGAGCTTCCCCCACTCCAAACGGGTGGGATCCTACCTGGTGGGGAAAATGATCAACAAGGGTTCCTTTGCCAAAGTGATGGAGGGGCTGCACATCGGCACGGGGGAAAAGGTCGGTGATTTCACTGCAGGGGTGGCACACTGGCAAAGAAAAAGATCACACGCAAGATTATGATAACACGTTTACAACTTGTGCCCTTGGGACTTGTAACTGATAATTATATCCACGTAGTTTTGAAGAAGGCAGTGACCTGTTATTATTCTTGTTATGTGTACAAAAACTCAGTCAGACCCATCTGTAATTACTTTATTTCATAACTATGACTCTTTAAGGGATTTAACAAGAACAAGTGTTTCTGCTCACTATATGTGGAATTCTATTTTTAAAAAAGCTCATTCATGCAGCACAAGTGCACAAATGCAAATGCCACATAAACATGATTACAAAGATAGACTTATGTTCGGATTTATTTATTTATTGACATATATTTAGCAAATTACATGTTGAGACAAAATATATATAGTGTTGTCCTGAACATCTCCTTATGACGATTATTCTTATTATTCCAAATAGGCTAAAAGGCAACCATGCTAATGTTTTAAAGTATTTCATATTTTGTATGAATTCTCATTGTGCAGTAGAGACAATTGTGTGTGTGTGTGTGTGTGTAACTTTCTGACCCCGGCTCATATGTAACTGACCTGGTTGCCATAGTAATGACCAAACTCATCTCCGGGGGTGTTTGCTCCTCTTAACCCCTGTTGCCCTCTACAGGTACAAGACCTGTGGAGGTTAAGTCTACAAATATTTAAACACACACTGTGGTAGACTTTAGGATCTTCCTAAAATTTGATTTTAATTTTGAACTAAATGACAGAAAACCATATATTCATCATGTACACACAGTATTAATGGAATATAAAGTGGAAATAAACAGAGCCCTCCAGAGCTTTCCAACAATTTACTGTCATGTCAAGGTCAGCGTTTATTAGTTATCTGAGACAAAAAACAGTCATCTAAACAAGCTGTCATCATTTTCAGTATCACTGTTTAATAATTGTATTTTCTGTGCAGTCCAAGTGCTTTTTCCCAATCATTGTCATCGGGAAAGGAAAATTAGTTGTAAGAACATAAATAGTTGCCAAAGTTATCCCCCACAGACTCCCTGTACTAAGTGCAATAGGGGTAATAAAACATGAACAAGTAATGTGTGTGTGTGTGTGTGTGTGTGTGTGTGTGTTTAGGTAGCCATTAAGGTGATTGACAAGAAGAAAGCGCGACAGGACTCATATGTGCTGAAGAACATGAAGAGAGAACCTCGAATTCATCAGATGATCCGACATCCTCATATCGTCGTCCTGCTGGAGGTAGAAAAAAAAAATAAAAATAAAAAACACACACACATATTCATGTTTATATTAACATAAATGCATATAGGCCTACAGTCCAAATAATGTAATGATGGAGTCTTACAACATGCTCAGAATAGAGCCCATTAACAGTGACATATCTTTATTGTAGACAGCAGTCTAATTAAAAAGTCACAGTATATAAGCTTGTCCAATGACATAATATACACATGACTAACTTTGTGCGTCAGACTCTGGAGACGGAGAACAGCTACTACATGGCCATGGAGCTCTGTGCTGGAGGAGACCTGATGGACAGGATCTGTGAGAGGAAGAGGCTGGAGGAGAGGGAGGTACGACGCTACACTCGTCAGATCCTTTCTGCAGTGGAACACCTGCACAAACACGGCATCGTACACAGGTGAGACTGCACACATACTGCGCAGTACTTCTGTATGCATTAGAGACATCTGCCTTATACTGAGTCTCAGGAGTCTTCTTACTCTGCTGAATTTCTTTATTTAGTCTCCTTTGTGACTGATACACTTGAGTCCACACTTTACTCTTTTGCTCTTATACTACTGGAAACTACACTATAATACACACTCAGTTAAAACATGAAAAGGGACTCAAAATGCTCGGATGCCAATTATTTATGAATAATTTGAAAGTAGTAAAAATAAAAAAGTTAGCTGATAAAAAAAATGAAACAAAAGTCTACAGAAACTTACATCTGTCTCCACCTGTAGTTTTGAGAAATATGCTATTCACGGTTGTTTCAAGGAGTCTCTGCTGGTTGCCTGGCAACCTCACAATGATGACATAACTCCAGGAAGTTGCTCCGCCTGTCCAAGAAATAATTCGGCACATAAAAGCCCGTAAAGCCACAAATTGACATTTTTACACCTTTTGTATGGATTAAACTAACAAGATATAACCTGTGAATAATGCGCTTTAGAGGTGATGACAGCATCTAGGCTAAACATAATAGTTCTTCCAACATAATTTAAAAGGCTGTATTTAAATGTGGGACAGGTCCTTATGTGTTGAAACAATGGTAAACTAGAAAAAAATATATCACTTCCAAACAATTTAACACATTTTGAACCTATGTCTGGACATCTTTTGACATGCAAATTACCAAAACCATGCTTACTAGGCTACTGTAACAGTGAGCCAATCAGCAGCATGTGATGTAGAACGTTATTCTTACCTTGAGCTAATTGGCCGAATTAGAGATTTGGCAAAACAATTAAGTGAAAAAATAGGAAAGGCGCCCAAATGTTACTGTCTCGAAATGTCACTGTCCAGTTTTGAGAGAGCGCCAAACTGACCTGCACACAGTAGCTGTTTGTCAGTGGATGTTAAGGTCAGAGTTTGTAGATTCACACACACATGCACACACACAGACACACACACAGAGTAGTTTGCAGGGCATTAACAGCCTACAGAGGAGGAAACGCTGCAAGAAAGGCAATATATGGCACAGTGCAGTGTGGGAGTTGAGAGTGTTATTTTAGTGGCGTTTTAGTATGTGTAGGTGTTAGAGACCCAATACCCAATACACACACACACACACACACACACACGCACACACACACATACACTGAAACCACACGCAATATGCACAGTGCTGGGCTTTGGTTTAAGACCTTGGCTCCTCTGAAGGTGGGAATGTGATTACCAGGCAATGACCTCATCATCCTGCGCCGGCGCCATGATTCACACATCATCACAACATCATGGACTTCCTCTCTAATGAAGTCCCTCAACGACGTCGCTCTCAAGCCTTCAATAGCACCTCTCCCTGTCACACACATACGCCCTCGTCCTCACACACATGCATACGCTCACACACTCTCCACCACAGTCCCACACAGAGATGATTAAACTGGAAATAAATGGAAAATTTGCACTTAAATGCACCTCATGCCACCCACATCCAGTAGGTTTACCGCATACATTTTCTCCTTTATGACAATGTCTGCTCTCGCTCTCTCTTGCTCTTTTTCCCTCTTTCTTCCCTCCGTCTGTCTTTGAACTTTTCTTGGGTTGTGTGAGCAGTGTTCTCTGGATTTTTGGGACCCAGAGTGTCTGTTGGTTAGATGAAGGCAGATGAAAGGAACATGGCTGATTCCCAGGCTATAGTTTATAGGGGATCTCTCTCTCCTAACCGCAGATTTTCATTTAGCTTGGTAGTTTTAGAGCAGGGCCGTGTGGTTGGTGGTGAGGCTGGGGTACTTTCAGGGGAGTCAGGCAACTTTTCCAGGTGAACACAGATACTACTTTGGTGGAGAAAAGTGTGGAAGAGCTTCACTTCGCTCTGACAATGTCCATTTAATGTGAAAATCCTGACGGGCGCAGGTTTTCAAAGGAGTTCAAAACAAACAAATCTTCCAAATTACGCCCAAACTAAATGTTCATCCAGAAATATTTAAATAAAACTATTTTTCACCAGTGTTTTTAAAGCTTGAGCTCTTACCAAACCCAAATTTAGCTTTGGTTTTCCTTTACTTCTGTGGGTCCGGTCTGGTCCCATCTCATCTGGTTGTCCATAAATACACAGAAAAAGCTTAGTAAGGCCAAAATCATATTGCAAGAGATCTAAAATTAGCAACCAGCATAGTGTCTGTCGGTAAATTGTTCTTCTGCAAGGAAAAAATCACTTTAGAAATTCCTGTAGGATTAAGGACAGAGCTCATGAAAATACTACAGCGTACCACATTGTTCCTTTGTGTAATGACTCTCTCTCTCTCTTTTCTTCTGTAGAGATTTAAAGATTGAAAACTTCCTGCTGGACGAACATAATAACATAAAGATTGTGGGTATGTTGACATTGCTGATTTTTCCAGTGACATCTGACTGACAGCTTACTGATGCGAAATGGTTGACAGATCAGTATGACAGAACCTGTCTTAGCGATCTAGTCCATCTGCACATGTGTGCACACTGTTAAAATGATGATGTTTCACACAGACTTTGGCCTGAGTAACACTCTGAAGGCTGAATCTTTGTCTCTGGAGCTCCTCAACACCCAGTGTGGAAGTCCTGCCTACGCAGCACCTGAGCTGCTCGCTCACAGGAAGTATGGACCCAAAGTGGACGTCTGGTCGGTGTAAGTGTCCGTCGATGAGGCCTGAAAGGTTTGCAATTGTATGCATCTTGTGAATGTGTTAATGCTTCTTCATGTTTTGTTGCTTGTTTGTGTGTGCTGCAGAGGTGTGAGTATGTTTGCCATGCTGACAGGGACTCTGCCCTTCACTGTTGAGCCTTTCAACATCAAACACCTGCACCAGAAGATGGTCAACGGAGAGATCAGCAGCATCCCCAGTGACGTCAGCAAAGGTAACTCCACGTTTCACCCGTGTCTCTGAGTGGCTTCTTTGCTGAAAAAATAACACACAATTTTTGCACAAATTTACAGTTCAACAGTAAATTTGCTTCGGCAATATGTCGTTTGTGCTCTTAGTCTAGATGGAAAATAAGAGAATAAAGAGAATAAAGGCATGACATGACAAAATAAAACCACAGACAAGTAACGAGAAATTAGAGCGAATGTGACAGAGAATTAAAGGAAAAATGTTTAACTTCCTTCTTATTTCTTCCACTTGTTTTGTATAAAGCACACAGCAGCTTTACTGTCCCCGTTTCTCTCTTCTTTATTTTGGTCTCTCTCACACACACAGTCACTCCATTACACTCTGTCATGGCGCCATGTCACCACAAACAAACATAGCTCCTGTTACTGTGGGTAAAACCAGTACAGCTCTGATGCTCTGAAACTGTGACAAGATCAGATTAGTGGCTGTATCGCTGCCACCGGCGGGCATCTGAGACATCCACTTTAACTTTCAGGCTTCATCCTGCTGCTGAATAGAGCTGTTTTTTTTTTTAAAACTCGGCTTCACTTTTACCAATCCCACTTCATATTTCTTGTCCCACAGTAATTGTTGTCAGAATAGCCAATTTTTTGTCTTTCTTTTGTTTGTTTTGCCATGGTTTTGGTGGTGTTTTTGTTTCGGTTATTTTAAACCTCACAAACGATTCTTTTCGTCTTTGTAGGATTGTTTTTTAGATTTTGATCACTACAAAAGGAACTGAGTGTCTCCATCTACAGGGTTCTAGATTAAATTCAACAAATGGTGCATTTGATTCTATCAGTTACAAACTGACCTTTACTGAGACAAGCTGCTTTGGCTCTGCCATTGAAAGTGAGGCAACTGATAGTAGCAAACTAAGTAGAGCAGTGTTGGCTTATATCTCTGTGAAAGCTGCAGCCATCCTGTTCGTATCCATCTGCTCCTCCAGACCGTGGAGTTTATCAGGAATCCCCATCTGGAGTCAAACTATCAACCCTGCTTGGCTGTCACAGGGCAGCTCCGTGTCACAGGCTGACAGGCTGAATTGGTTGTCCTGAAGGGAGATCCAGCCTTAACTCCATGCTTTCGTCTCTGATACGGTTTCAGTTAAGTCACAAGTGAGTGACATCAGTCCGGCAGTCTGGAGTATTTGTGCAACATCGGCAGAACAAAACTTAGTTTGGTGGTCTAATCTTAAATTCAAGATCCACACAAAACACTGGACTATAACATGTTCTGGATAATGCAAGCCAGAGCCTTGCATGGCCATCAGTGTGTGGCTGAAAATGAGGCATTATGAAGCACTTTATTATGAGTACAGACCATTTAGCTGTACAAATGTCCAAGCACATTTGAGTTTAATTCTTAAATACAGATGGTTGTTGACCATCAGTTGCTGAGCGTAGGATACCAACTGTTACTGTGTGGTCTTGACTGATGTTCATGTAGGACACCCAAGATGAACGCTGACCAACTATGCACAGATGAGGCTTTTTACGAATGGGTTACTAATGACTGATTTAAAACTGCAATGACTAATAGCCACTTGGGGGTATCAGAAGTAAGCTGTGAACACAACACTGACATATTGTCACCTTTTAAGTTAATGTGGCTTTTAAGTTAACTTCCAGCTGATGCAGGGAAACATTCATTTGGAGTCATGTTTCTTGCCACCTGGCGAATGTAAGTCACTCTCGTTTTAGCACTGTTCCGGTCTCCACCAGCTCCTGAGGGAAATATTTGGCTCTTTAGTTGCTAAATGATCCACTATGTTCACTGGCAAGTTGCTAGATTTGTTTGTTTGGTTCTGGGCAGGTAAGCATACAGTGTTTTTTTTTTTTCAGAAAAGAATGACACTATGAGTACAGTGAGAGTGAACTAAAATAGTAAAGGCCTGAAACCAAAACAATTGGCTGAAAAACTCTCTGTAGAGCTGAGGGGAACTACAGTATTGGTTGATTATTTGTTGGGGGTCTGTCCCTATGAACAATTACAGAATTGATTCTTTTTTTAACTGCGCTACTACACTGTCTATCTACACCAAACCAAATAGTAAAACAAATGTTACGGGGCTCCTGCTTCAGGTGCGGTGGCGTTTGTGTTGTCTCTCCTGGAGCCGGACCCAGCTAAGAGACCCAGTATCAGAGCCGCGATGGAGGAGAGGTGGATCAATGAGGGATATGCCAAGAAACCACTACACACACTCTCTCATAAAAACAGGTAGAAATCTACTGTTTGACTACACTTTGACACATTGTCTATAGATTGTCCATGTATTAAGATGTAATAAATTGACATACTTCATTCATTTATTTTATTTATTTATTTAGCAGAATTCAGCATTTTATATACTGCAAATACCTCTATCATATATTTTCTAATTATATCCCAACATAGGAAATATATGTATGTATACATTACACTACATTAGTAAATGGATTATGTATGTTTGTGCCATGAGAGCAAAGTGAGACACAGTGACTGTTCTCAGGGAAAGTTCTGAAGCAAACATTACAATGTGGGCAAAAGAACCAAGAAGGAAATCACTGCAAGTTTTCTAACAAAACGAAAATATTTGTGGTCAGTAGGCTAACAACTTTGTATATTATAGCATGACTAAAAGGCTTTTATCACTTTACGCTGTGTGGAAATGCAATCATGTATGGCTCATCCTGGCAACAATGCATTTTCTGAAATCCACATGAATGAAGCAAGAACCGTTCCAGCTCTGTTCTTCTCACAGTTGAAAATCGACAAACCAAAAATCCTTAACTTACTGGTCATTCCTTCACTCTTCACACTTTATCTTTGGAACTGTTTTCCCCCTCTCTCTTGTTATTTCGCAGGTTGTGTCCAGAGGATCTCAACTCGTCTGTGCTAGCATACATGACAGAGACCCTGGGCTACTCTCTCTCTGAAATCATTCACACACTCACCACCAACCGACCCTCTGCCATCATGGCCTCCTACCACCTGCTGCACAACAAGCTCAGCAGGAACCAGAAAGGAGTCAAGGCCAGCAAGGTTCACACCTTATTTTCAAGCACGCACACACACACAGGGCTTGCACTTACTGAAATACTAGTGAACACAGCTTTTCTGATGCCAGTAACACACACATGTGTGGAACTGTGTAATGGTACCTTTAAAAATGAATAAATACAACCATTCTCATGTTCTGCTGTAAGGTTTTAACAGCTGAAATTAATTGATTTGGCAGAAGCTAGAGAGCAATGACTGGAGTCTTCCAAGCAAGAATACATGGCGAGAAAGGAATAACACTGACTCAAAGACTCAGCAACAGGTAATTTTTCTATAAAAGCAAATAAAGGTGTTATTCTATATATTTTTTGTCAACAAATCCAATAATAGACCACAAATATATATTCATTTCCTAAAACTGTTTTCAGCTGTGGATTAACACACAAATTACTGGCAATACAGGCGCTTCCTTTCTTATTATATCAACTCATGGCTGTATATATGATTTCAACTCAGATGTGGATATTTCCAGAGAAGTATAGTGTTTTCATATATAATTACAATGTCCTCATTATGGGAGAATAGTAATTTTTTTTTAAATGTTGCTATGCACGTTGCCTATATGGATGGAATAAAATTACAGATCCATTGGAGATTAAACTTAATGTCAATCTTAATGTTGATACGGCACACTGATTAACAAGAAAATTCAAAAATGGCACTTCTCAAAAGGGTTGCAGATCCCTAGTCTATAGTCTTAGTATAAATTTAGTATAGTTAGTACTTAAAGTACTTTACTTACTTGCACTTAACCAGATGCTGCAGCCTTGTTTGCTTGTGAAAATAATCCAACTAAGTGTGTATAAGAAGAGGAGGTGTTGTGGCTGTATTAGAGAGTTAGGCAACTTACTATTTGAGGTGATATGGGATGACAACTGTCTTTTTACCCCTTTGTGCTAGCAGGAAACATTCTTGGCACTCCTGACAACTAATCACTGCTTGTTTTTTAGAATGAACCGACTAATGAAAAAAGCTCGAAGCAGTCCGGCAGGCCTCTAAGAGCCCAACAGACAACTGAGTGTCAGAACAACAGGAAGAGGCCCGAGGACCTGCACAGGAAGGACCACCAAGAGGACGCAGAGAACCGCCCCCCCTCTCCATCTCTACCCCAGCTTCCTCACTCTGCCTCCCCCTCCATACCCCCTCGCCTTCCCTCCCCCTCTCCTGCCCGTTTGTCTGCAGAGGATGGAGCCACTGATGAGGAGATCGCCATCACCTTGGACACCAGAGAGATGCTGTTCCCTGAAGGTAAGGATTTATAGCATACGCACACAACCACAGTATAGTGTGTGGCATATTATCCTGCATCTGTATGTTTTATGTGTTCCAGTGTCTGCGTTCGGAGACAGAGAGCTCGTCCATCTTTCTCCTCCGAAAAGCTCTGCATCTCAACTCTGTGACTCTGCCCCTTGCCAAGTCCCCTTACCCGCTGAGCCAATCAGAGATAGCAGCACGTCCAGACCGATCCGTCACACACACCTGCTCAGGACAACTCAATCAGACGGGGCAGCAGACGCTGGGTCAGACTGCTTCCATGACAACCGCCACCAGGAGGACTACTCTCATCACCTGAGCATCAACGAGCGTCTGGAGAAGCTGCAGACATTTTATTCCTCAGAGAAGAATGGCATCTCTCCCAGGATGCTCCTGGAGGCCGACACACACACCACGCACTCCGCAGACAGAGACCACCTGGGCACCATGGAGAGGACACAGACGTCCCCCTCTGCCCCACTGCCCCGCCTGCGCAATGTGGGGCTAAAAGATGGACGAGGCAGGAAGATGACATGGGTAGGGTTGACCCGACCCGGGCCCCCAGGACTACTGGTGAACGGGTCTAAACCTCCCGCATTCCCCTCGCAGAGACAAAATACTTTGGTCATTAAGAGCCTCAGACAGGAGAGAGGCAAGAGAAGAGATCTGTCGACAGCCGGAGGTGGAGGTGGAGGAGGAGGAGGAGGAGGAGAGAGAGGGACAGCGGGAGGAGGGATGAATGGAGCAAAGAGGAACTCAGTTCAGTTACGTTCATCTCTCCAGCGTCGGGTGGCGGACCTGAATCTGCCGCTGCTTCCTGCAGCCCTGCAGGGGAAGACAGATAGGAAGAACCAGCTACACAGCATGGACTACTGATACATAGATGGGAGGAGACAATAAACAGACGCCAGAAAAAGCTGCAATGGCAGGAGAAGATAAGAGAGGATAGTGACATATTTGGAAAGGAGGTTAGCAATTAAGAAATACTGGCCTGTATTGAAATAGGGGCAACATTAAGGTGAATGAAAGTGGAGAAGAAGGATAATGGGTGGATGGTATAGAATACTGAATAGGGCAGCAGTTGAGAACTGCGCATGAACATTTTGAGGAACATATATATATGCTGCAGTGCCAAAAATTCTAAAATTCTAAACAAGCTAATCAATTTTAATGCGGTCTTCAGTAGCTAGGCTTTGGTCTAGCAGTTTACCATTTTCTTCACCATGTTAATCTCCATCCATCACAATGTGAAGTGCAGATTGCACACAAATGTATTGTTGTATTTGTATTCACTGTTCTTAAATACATTTTTGTACTAATATTTAAAGTTAAAGTAAAAGCAAGTATCGATTCTAGCCTTTTTGTTATGTGTCTGTGTGGCAAGTTTTTTTTTTTGCAAAGCTATTGATTGACTTGTCTCTCAGCTTATTATGCTCAGTTATGATATCTTTACTTTAGCCAAATAAGGATTACCTGCCTACAGAACAGTGACCAAATGGCTCGCTTCCATGTCACTGCATCTTTGTTTTATCACAATATAAAGTTAATTTCACACATCACAAAATAACGCACATTTCTGTGTGCCAGTGGTAACCTGTATTATGAATGGACCTTCCTGTGTAATTGATTTACTGTGGTGTACTGGAATGAGAAAAAAAAAAGGGTCATTGTGTTTATGTAAAATAATGTTATTTAAGCACAAGAACCTTTAGGCACCTTCTAAGGAAAAAATACTGTGGCTGCCGAAAACAAAAAATGGCCTATCTAGAGACAGTTTGTCTGCTCTGGGCTACTGTAGAACATGGCAGAGGTTTTGGTTTTTTTCTTTACTAGACTGATACTGTAACTACTCAGGACTTGCTTAGTGCTACCACTACTATAATCTGACTATTCGCAAGTTAAAATTTGAAGTGTTTTGCAGTATGGATAAGGACCAAAATGGCTACAGTGAAATCATGGGAATAACTTAAACTTGGAAACAATTGACACATTTTAATAAAGTTAAAAGGTTTAGTTTTTTATATTTTAAATGTTTATCTTTTCACTGCACTACTGTGAGGGTGTCAGATGTGCTGGCTGAATCATTTGTTATACTACAGCAAAACTAAATTCAAGTTTACTCCCCAAATCTCTGACAAGCGTCTTCATCCTCATACGCCCTCTGTCTCCGCACTCTTCTTTCATCATGTCACTGTCTCTGGATCATTAATATTCCGATGTGCTGCTGGAGGAATCTGGTTGCTGCTTCGTGGCGCTCTTCGTGGCTGCTAAATAATTCAGGGACTGTTACCTGATACTCAGTTTGCGTGTGTGTGTGCATGTGTGTGTGCGAGTGTGTGTGTGTGTGTGTGTGTTGGGGTATGGTGCATGTTCTGCATGTGCCCAATGAGGACAGATTGAACCCACTGAGGTGGATACATCCCCCACTCCAGTTACCTCTTTGGCTACTTAACAGTGATATGAACCAGTAAGCTCTGATACTGTATCAGACAAACACACACATTCACACTGCACAATGGCAATCAACTAAACAAGAACGGCTGGTTAACAGTCAACCTGCCAACAAATACAAGGGGAAAA